CACTTATTCACCAATAGTATATTGACACGTGTACTAAAATAAATATCCAATTTGGACAGGTGTCAATACATTAAGTGGTGAATAGCTCCATAAAAGAAACCATCTGAAAGCTCCATAGAATTTTTAGTAAGTCTTATTCCATATAAAAGTTTTCAAACATAAGACATTATTTGAGTTTCCCTTTAAATTTTTACATCGGAAACTAAAAAAAAGATAATACATTTTTCTTGGTTGTCATCTAAATTGAAAAATCCTACGAAATTATATGTACAAATGATTTTTTTTCGCGCTTGTGAGCCTTGGATTCAAATTCAAATTAATGGAATGTAAGAAAATCCACATCGTATAACGATAATAATTGAAAAATAAAAACATACAATCGATTGGGAAATTGAAAGAGTTCAATCCTAATCTATATCTATATAATGAACCAATCCTTATTGCCATAATTGGCATGATTTTAGGCGGAAAATTTTTTTCGTCTATATTTGGCACTTAATTAATACTATTCATTTATTAGCAAATTTTAGGCATGAAAAAATATAATTAATTTTTATACACTCAATTATTGTTATTGATTAACTACAAAATGACTTAAATTGAAATTTTTACAGTAGATTTATTATATACATTTTCAATAAAATCTTATATTAATTTAATAGTTATTATTGACACAATTCAAAAATTATTATGAAAATTGATTTGATTAAATTTATCATCATTTATGGTTGTAGGTATTAATCTAATTAATTATATTCACTATTCAGATGTACTTAAAATATTAATAAAATAACTCTGTTTAAATCATAATAACTTAATAAATTATTCAAAATACTAATAAAATTTTCTAAATTTAGTCAATTTAACAACAAAAAGGTACATCCACATTGAATATATCATATGCATTGATAATACTATTGACAATTTAAATATATACTTATAAAAATAAAATTTGATGGTCGAGTGCAATTAAGAATTATAAATTTCACCTTACAAGTATTTAGGGACATTAAAAAACTATTAATTTTTAAAAATATATATTTTTTTCTTATATACTATTTTATAAAAAAAAAAAATAAGTTAATAAAAAAGTAATGTATAATAATTCAAATTATGGCACTTGATAATTCTAGAAATATATATTATATCTAAATATTAAGACAGATACTATGTAACTCACTATATAGGCCGAAAAAATAAATTAAAGAAATGAATATAAATAAAAAATATAAACATAAAAATAAAATATTTAACCATAAAAAATTTGTGTGTTGCATAGGGATTAAAGTAACTAAAAATTAAAACTTATTTATCAAGGTTTTAATATTTAATGCACTTAATAATTATAGCGGAAGATAAATATTATGAGTTAAACGTTGGTCAATTATCAAACAATGTGCAACTTATGAATTGTTGAAAAATTATAAGACTATGATAAACGATAATTTTATAAGTACATACAAGTAATTTGTATGGAATATAATATGATCTCATACATTTACAATATTTTATAATCTTATAAGTAATAAAATTTATATATTAAATAGTAAAAAACTACCAAAAAAATATATAAAAATAAAATTATCAATAATAGTAAATGAATAAATTTTATTTTATTACTGAATATAATATTGTAGAGGATATAATTTTATATTGTCTGAAATAATTTTATAATATTTAGATAAAAAAATATTTTTTGTATTGCACCCCGTGCATCGCACGGGTATCAACACTAGTACAATGTATGCCAAGAATCCAAACTCTGGGAAAATTGAAATATGAAAAAATCCTACAGAACTATATCTACAAATGATTTTTATTTATTTATTTATTTGTAGTGTGTCTGTGAACTTTGGAGTCGGTATCGGGCAGCTTTTGATGTATTCCAAGACGATGTGATTGTCTTGCACAAGGTTATCAAAATCGCGACTTTGAGTCGTAGAATCGCCGATTCTACTCAAACTCACAAAATTGATTCTAAGTCGCTCAAAATCGCAAAGGACTGTAGAGTCGCTACAGAATCGGTAGAATCGGTCAAAATCGTAAAATCGGACCGATTCTACGACTTTGACCGATTCTGTGCAAAACTGAAATTAATGTACTAGAATTAGATTTTAAAATTGGGTTGCGTTTGGGCACTTGGGCTGTTTTTTTTTTACACAAATTGGCCCAAAGAAGCATAAAGATTTCCTTCTCTTGGCCCAATACAAATCAAATTAATTAAAAAAATTTAATAAAAACCCAAAAAATTCTAAAATCCTAATCTCTAATCTGCTCTTCCCGTCTTCCGTCGCGCAACTTCTTCACCTCCATCCCTCACCGGCCGACCGTCGTACTCCAAGTCTCCGACGTTAAACTCAAATTCATCTCTCTCTTACTTCTTCTTCGGCCTCCAATCCTCCACAGTTCACAGGGTTGTAGCCTCCCACAGTCCGAACTCTGAGTCTCCGTCGTTAAAATGGCTCGGCCTCGACGCCTGCGTCTTCTTCGTCCGAGCAGTGATGGTGATGGTGATGGTGATGGTGATGGTGATGGTGATTAGTTTGGTTATATATTATAATTTGAACTTGTGTTTTTTTGTTTTACTAGTATGTTATTTCACTAGTAGTTTGAACTTTGAAGTGTGAAATTATGTTATTACACTATTCACTAGTATGTTATTTCACTAGTAGTTTGAACTTTGAAGTGTGAAATTATGTTATTTCACTATTCACTAGTATGTTTGCCTTTTGAACTTTGGTGATATTGAACATTGGATTCTCTAATTTGTCTATGTATTTGTAAGTGTTAACTTTGAACGCGCAGAGTGTTAAAGTTTGAACATTTATATTTTGAAAAACAAGTGGTGATTTTTTAGCATTTTGATACATATTCTTGATGATTACCATAAAGCCTGTTAAAATAATTAATTTTAGACGTTTTGAGTAGAATCTTACGATTTTACGATTCTGATTCTACGATTCCAATTCTGCACCCAAAACGATTCTACGTAGAATCTTGATTTTGAAAACCTTGGTCTTGCATGAATCTCAATAAGTACACATTCAAAATAGGATAAAAAATCCATCACGATGCATTTTTGTGAGGACCCGTCGATTGGGCGAAGCCAGTCGTAGGAGCGACAGGTGTAGAAGACTGGAGAATAGTGCGTGTGTGCTCGCCAGCGTGGAATTGGTTGCACCGCAGGCGTGATGCCCCCATGCAACGCCTATGTGCGATGTTCGTGGCGCGCTCCCCGCAACCTGGCAATTGGTCCCTTCCCATGAGACTCGATCTAGTGAATTATGGTCCGTTTCCAAATATGGTACCGATGAAAAATACTCGAACTATATTTTCCACAAAATAAAATATAAAAAATGACGAAAAATACAAAAAATACATGAATAACACGAAAACACATAAATGAGTAAAAACAACTCGATGGACCTAATATACCAACATAAAAATACATAGTAAATCCCCCACACCAACATTTTTCTTGTCCTCAAGCAAATAACATTGCACACCGTATATGAAGAAAGACAATTAAACTCGTTTGTTAATGTCATAATGTGTAAATTTCTTATCCACCCAATAATTTTGATTGCCCAAATCCTAGTTTGTAAGTATTTTTCCCACGACACGAGGTCATACAAAATGAGACAATGGTCCGAAGTTATTCCACACATAGCCTTCTCGCCACAAGCCATTTTTATAAGTCTACCCAAATGAGTTTTAAGAAATTCCCTTCTTTTATTCTATTTCTTTTACAAGCCAATTTTTTCTATATAAGTCTTTCGGATAACATTATGTGGGGGAGGGGGTTGACCCGATCTTTCTAGACTGATTTATTGTGTTCACCACCACATTCACGCTGAGGCGATTGTAGCATAATCCTTCCAACCAACACAAAACCCTTACGTTATTTATTTATTATATTTTTTTAATACTATTTTTTTTTTCAAAAGCAGCCTGGATATCTTATCTAGGTTTATTCTTCGAGTTTTAGGCATGAGTCTCCTACACTGGTTCACTTGAGACCACTGTAAATAGTGATCAACACACTTGTAGTCTGATCCTTTTGGAACCACATGAGCTTTTGACTTTATTTCTTTTAAGAGAAATCTCAAGAGACAGACTAAAAAAAATTCGCTTAGAGCATTCGCCAATCAGACTATCATAAGGGAAAAAGCCAAACAACCGACTCGTGCCATGTGTCCCATACCAAAAGGTCTTCATACGTCTAAGAGCACCAGGATTCAATTCATCAAATCACACACAAGATGAATATAATGAAGATGTACTTTCAAGCGTCATGATAACAATATCGACCAAGCATCATACACCACGTAGAAGAATCAAAACAAAACATATAAAGTCGTAAAAACTAG